AATTAACTAATATATACAAATAATGATGATAGGTGGGGTTATCCGGGTTTTCCTCGGCTGTAAATAAAATGGCACCATCAGTCATCTTTAGGTCGTCCCAGAGTGCCATAGCAAATAATAATCATAATAATAGACATTCTTGCTTCGCACAAGCTCTGCTTGGGGTTCAACTCAAGTGGGGGGTGAAATGTAGGAAAATCTATTATTATTGTTGTATTGCCATTTATTTGATTTATTTATATAAAGCTTTGTATGGAATTTATTTTATTTCATAATTGTTACAAACAGCTAATAAAAAAGTAAAATTTTAATTATAATTTACTTCAGCAATTATCTTTTTCTAACCAATACGAAATAGAGCCATAAAAATTTCTATAGCTTATTTTAATTTTTTGTAAAAGTGAAATTATTCCGAAATTTGATTTAATTATTTTTTCAAAAATTGGAAAAATCTTTACACAAACAAAATTTTGTTTTTTGCCATCAAAATTTAATCAAATTTTGAAAAAGTGGCTCCAGAGGAATATATTCAATGTTAATCTACACGTAAATGTTTTTTATTTCATTAAAAATGAAAAAAAACGAACTGAAATTTTGGTTGGCTATATTTCGTATTAGAAAATAATAATTGCTAAAGTAAATTCTTCTCTAAGTGGACGTAAAAAAACCACCAATTTTTAAATTAAATATAACATTACGGGTAGCTACATTATCAACAGAGTAATAATTAATATTACAGGTAACTACATTCTCAACAGGGTATGATTAGTTCAACCACCCGCACCCACAGGTCGCTGCAAGCAAATTTGTTGCCAAATTTATACAAAGACACGGCAACTCTTAACAACGTCTTAACTATTCTTCCTTAATGGTACCTTTATTTAGACTGGAAAAAGTGTTTTGAAGATTAGTTTCATCGGATTCAAAAGCGTATAGATTTTAAAGGGGAATATTTTGAGAAGCATAAAACAATTTACCTGAATTTCAAAACTAGATTCTGAGGCAGAAACCTTACTACTTCAGTTTTTAGTTACAATTATTTTGACCAAAAGCAGAATTTGTTTTTTTCAATAAAAAGTTATTGCTTGGTAAAAATCAGTCATTTTTTATATATTTGATAAAGTAGGATGGTTGAAATGACTATTGTCCGTCCAACAAGGGTTAAAATGTATTTTTGGCTGTAGTTACCCTATAGTTAAATAAAACATTAGTTCGGCCGGGTAAATCAACTTCAGTAGCATTATGTTTGTAAAATGAGCTCATAGATAAAATAAACAAATTTGATCTTAACACACATGGCATGTTTTCGTCTTATTTCTAGTTATCAAATTAAATTTAATGTAAATATTTTTATATCTAAACAGGAAAACAGTTAGTAGTATGTAACCTTTAGAACGGATTATAAATGTATTATGAATGGTATCTAATTCTTATTTCATAAGAGTATATTCATATGATTAAAATAAATGATCATTGCGTGGTATATGTATAGGTATATTACTGAGATGGAGATGAATTCCACATGGGGATGCTATTGATCGGGATATATATAATATTTTTTTGAGTCAGGATCAAGTAGTTGGAAATTGGTAAAATGTTTGTTTATATTATGTCGAGAAAGGTGAAAACAGGAAGTTAGAAAAATATTTGAATATAAACAAACATACAGTAATATTATTGTACGTATAGTAGAAAATAAACTCCAATCGAAGGAATTAAGTTCATCCATAAAAGACGCAGATGTATAGTGACACTGAAATGGGAATGCAGGAGAGGTGCAGAGAGCTGATCAGGAGCTCAGGAGATGGTATCGCTGAGATAACCAGAAGGCAGAGAAGATACAGAGATAGAGAAGAAAGTACAGTTTTCGTCTTAAATTGATTTAACGAACCTAATCGTACATTTTCAGGTACAAGTCGAAGAACCCGGCCCAAAAGAGATTTCTTTCTGGTAGGAGGCGTCTGGTATGGACGGCGCCTCTATATCAATATATTATTGTTGCAATACTCATTTTTCTTGTCTTGAGGCCTTCAACATTGCAACCAAACCTCAATATTAGACGAACAGACTCAGACTTCTAAAAGTACGGAAACTACATTTTGTTATATTAGATATTTAGAGAGTAATGTGGTATTTTAGAATTTGATTAAATTGAAGAGGAAAATCACAATGAACACTATGTCGGCTGAATAAATATACATATACTGTAATTTTATTGAGTTGATACGTTATTGGAAATTATCTCGCGCACCAATAAAGCTTCTTGGTTATTTTTAAAGTTAGTTAAAACCGAAAATATTACTTAAATGATGTCAAAATATGTAGGTATCAATATCATATTTGTAATTAGTTTTTATGATCATGACTTTAGTTTGTTTAACACGTTTAGTTTTAAATTGTTATTGATTAAAGAAAGTTAGTAGAATATTAATTTTTTAATGGCAATTTCTAAATTAGTAACGACAAACTAGTAAGGTGTCATCAGCGAAAATAAAATGTTACAGAGAATTTTACATAAAAATCATTACTAAAGTAATACAAGAATAATTATGAAATAGTACTCATTTCCTACAGCTCATACTGTAAATCATACGAAAAAAAATGTGCATATTTCCTCAGATTTCTTCATTACAGAAATTATAAAAAATGACAACCCAAACAATTCCTATTTAAAGATTTTTTTCTCTAATCATAAATATCAGTAATATTGTGTGTCCATGGATTGATTTAACTATACTATATATCGTAGATCGCAAATAGAAAACCGAAAGATTAGAATTATCTGAAATGAGTTGTAGAATACGAATTATTAGGATCATCCCAGAACTTCAAATGTAAAAACAATACCTGAAGCCTGTCGCCACCTAGATTCGAACCCAGACATCTTTGTTCTGTACAGAAATGCCCTTACCGCTAGACCATGACATCATTGACTGTCGGATTTCTAGATAGCAATTTGATGTACTAGTTCGGGCCAGACGCCGTTTCAGGCTCGTTCTCAAATCTTCAAATAGCTCTATACAGCATCGGTATACATATATGAGAAATGCATTGATCAATCCAATATTTGAACATCCTTTTTTATTTCAAAATTGGAGATTCCACACAAAAAAGCCCTTTATCTTTCTTAGAAAGCAACATTTGCAGTTAAATATGAAAATATATCTTCCTTGTCACTGTGCACTCGGTGTATAGCTATTCAAACTCTTCTCTTTGCATGAACATTTTACTTTAATAACATGAGAAGCAGAAATGCCATCTGGGCAACTCCAAAAATTGTTAATTTTTATTTATAAAAAGCACACATTTATTGATTTTAATGTTTTTAATTCGAAGAAGAATCGACACTCTCACGTCAGCAATACTTTCAACTTTTGACAACAGTGACCCTAATAACCTCTGATACCCCTAATAACACAATGTGGATGTGATGGAAGGTTATTCACTTCGATGGTGCAGCCACAACAGAAAGCAACGTTATGTTTGCATCTATCTTAAAAAAAATAGAACCTTGTAAAATCATTTATTACATTATTTTGAACTTTTTTAATATTAAGAGGACTGAAATTACCTTCGGAAGCCGAATAATGTGTGGATTTACAAGACACGGCCTTTCCCTTTTGTTCGTTTATTACTTCATTAACGTTATAAACTTTCTGTAAACTGTGTTTTGGGGTAATTCCAGCTTTAATGTTACTAATGTTACCACTGGCGTAGCCAGCCATTTTTCATGGGAGGGACTTTTGAGAACTATGGGGCGATCAGCGCCAATAATATAGCGGAAATGGTGACCCGAGGACCCTCCATGGGGGGGGGGGGGGTTCTGACCCCCAACCCCACACCCCCCGTGGGTACACCACTGAATGTTACATAGAGCACCCTTTTCTTTTAATCATATGATACTGCACTTCTTTTGTAGACCTACAATGGAATAATTTTTACTTAATAAATAGGTGTAACCAAAATACAATATCAACAATATTGAGTAGTAGTGAGTTTGTATAATAAGAAATATTTCTTTTTTTTTTAAACGAAAATCTCGTTGAATCTAATTATAGAAATATTGTAAATTTTGAACTAAGAAAGTGTACTTACTTACTGTTTTCGTCTTTACCTCGGTCTTTACGTTACGAATTTTAGAGTCAAACTTTATATTATTTATTAAAAAAACCATTAATCATGTCAGAATCCTCCTTGGGTAAGTTGTCTGAAGATTTTTCTGTGAATCCTGATTGTACTCAGACGAATTTTACAAAATTAATAATAAAACACGAAAACAAACTCGCAATCGAAAACGAGGTTAGGATTTAGAAGGATGATACAATGTTGCCAGACTTGTCACAGAAAATATTATGTTAAATTATACGATATTAATCTTATAATGATTGTCGGTTGCCCGGAATTTTAATAATTCTATACAAGAAATGACAACGTAGCTAAAAACTAGGCAAAAACAAATTGTCTGGGACATTATAAATACGCCATTTTAGTGATGATGTAATTATGGTTCCACTGACATTTAAAGTGATGGTAGATTTTTTGAGTGCGTTTTGTTCGTTTTGTTTACCTAAATTATATCGTTTTTTCCAAAGACATTACAACTAACAGATCAAATTGTTTACATTTTTATGTGGCAAATCATTATTCCCGCCAGATTCTCGTTTATTGCGTCTTTGCCGGTTTTATCAGTCTGTAAAAATTTATTTGGAGAAATTACTTTCGAAAAATAAAATTTGATGTATCCTATAACTATAATTTTATATTATATAAATAAAAATATGTTTTTAATCAAATTATTCTTTAAAGTTTTAATATAAGCTAAATTTTTTAATAAAAATCAATATTAATCTAGTTACCGTAACCAGCCGCAACATTGCCAATCGGGTCTAAACAGCTATTTTGTATTTCTGACAGTTTCTGACAGTTTCTGACAGTTTCTGACAGTTTCTGACAGTTTCTGTGTGACTTATTGATTTATTCATTTACAAAATACTATTTTTGTGAACTTTTGTGAGAAATATAAAGAATTATGGTACATGCATGTGTAGTGCTCAATAAGGAAGATCATTTAAATTGAAATTTATCCTTTCATCGGTAAGTAATTTTAGATTAAGATATGTTGTTTTCATTTGAACCAGTGGAGTAGGGCACCCGTCTTAAGACTGTTTTGACTATACAATTTCTTGTACAAGATTTGATACAATTTCTTATAGAATTTAAATTGTATAGGATCACATAGTAAATTGTTTGAAAAATGATTATCCAATCTAATTTTTCAGACAATTTACTACAGGTTTGATAATATACCATTTAAATTGTACAAGAAATTGTATCAAAAACTTGTGTAGTCTAAAACAGTCTTAAAACAATTTTTAAAGTAATATTCCTTTTATAAATTAGTAAATTATTCTTATACTAATAAATAATTATTAAATAGTGGCAAAGAAAATTTAACTTAAAATGTACCTAGAATACCTTTAAATTATTTACCTATTAGGCACCTATACATATTTTTTAATATTCTATTTAGGATTTTGCAAGATCCTGAGAAAATAAAACTTTAGTTTTCTCTAGAAGAGATCCTTGAAAATCAGCTCCTTCGTAAAAACCCAGAGTTGTGTTCAGAACACTTTTTTCCTGAAGATGTTTTGGTACGTGCAAATGGTGCAAAATACAGGGATTTCATTTCAAAACTAGCCACCCAAAATAACTTTTAAAATATCTTTAAAACAAAAAAACACGTTAATTTATATTTACGGGGGGGCACATTTTACAAGTATATGTAACCGTGCAGTTTCATCCCTTAAGCGGTGGTGAATATCACTTCTAAAATTTTAAATAGAAAGGGGTATCATGTGATAGCTCTTCTTAAAGATCTCTTTTTTCCAATCTTTTGACACATTATTTTTTTAAATCGGATTAATTTTTCACCAAGTTATAACCTAGAAACCGGAAAAAATTAAAAATATTGAATTAAAATGCATGAGTATAAATACCGAGATAAACAAGTTAGCAAAAAAGCCTTAAATGTTTTTTGCGTAAGATATTTTTGACCGTAAATTAAAACAATTTATTATTAGTAGATTATTGGTTTCGTTGTGTACTGACAATTTAATTTTGACAATGGTTTATTCTTTACAAGAAATAATTGAAATAATCTTTATTTATGGTGAAGAACAACGCTGTGCACGCAGAACTGCTCGTGTTTTTAATCAGAGACATCCCGATAAAAATGTTGGGCATCAGTATGTGTTGGATTTAGTTCATAAATTTCAAGAAACTGGAAGTGTGTGCAATAAAACTGTAAGGAATCGTAGAGTTTTAATTGAAGCTGCACAAGTTGAGATTTTAGGTCTTTTGCCATGGAACCTCAAACATCAATACCAAAAGTCTCCAGATTAACAAATATTTCCGTTGGCTCTGTGCATAAAACGTTACGGCTAAATAAATCCTTTTCTTACAAAATACAGCTTTTACAAGAGCTTGCTGAGAATGATTATGACAGAAGATTAGAATTTTGCGAATTAATGACTCAAAGGGCAAATGAAGACCATAATTTTATTAAAAATATTTGTTTTACTGACGAGGCAGGTTCTTTTTAACTGGATTTGTCAATAAACATAATTGTAGGTACTGGGACACTACAAATCCACATGTTTTTCGGGAAGAGCACAGCCAATATCCTCAGAAAATCAACGTATGTGCCGGAATTCTTGGTAATAAAATTATTGGTCCTATTTTCATGGAGGAAAATTTAACTGGGGAATTGTATTTGAACTTATTAGAAAATCTGATAAATCCTCTTATAACCGAATCCTTAGAAAACCAAATAGATCAAGATGGACATTTGTTACTAGACGAAGAAAACCTATTTTTTCAACAGGACGGAGCACCTCCACATTATGCCTTGCCTGTACGAAATTGGCTTAATGAGACATTTCCAGATAAATGGATCGGAAGAAGAGGCGCTATAGAATGGCCAGCGAGATCACCCGACCTAAAGTTCCTTGACTTTTTTTTATGGGGACATCTAAAAACTGTGGTGTATAAAACTCAACCTCGCGATATTCCTGAACTTAGACGTAGAATAGTGGAGGAGTGTGAGCGGATTACACCAGAGACGCTTCAAAAAGTGCGGGATGAATTCGAGCTGCGACTTTACCATTTCCTTGCCAACAATAGCGGACATTTTGAATATCTTATTTAAGTACAATGTAATTCTTACGCAAATAAAATATTAATAATGTAAATACAATGTAAATAATAATTATTTTAATTTAAAAGGTTAAAATGGCATAACTTGGTGAAAAATTAATCCGATTTAAAAAAATAATGTGTCAAAAGATTAGAATAAAAGAGACCTTTAAGAAGAGCTATCACATGATACCCCTTTCTATTTAAAATTTTAGAAGTGATATTCACCACCGCTTAGGGGATGAAACTGCACGGTTACAGATACTTGTAAAATGTGTCCTTCCGTAAATATAAATTAACGTGTTTTTTTGTTTTTTTGTTTTAAAGATATTTTAAAAGTTATTTTGGGTGGCTAGTTTTGAAATGAAATCCCTGTATATCAGAAATAATGCAAACCCCAGACGGTGTGAGAGCTTTCTATTTTTGGATGACTTATCCATCAGGTAAAAATACAAAATATTAATTTTTTGTTTACCTCTGAACATTATTTATTACCTATATGTACCACCTGGTGCAAAAAAAAAAACATTGCAGTAAGTATTAACACTAATAACTAAGCATAAAAAAATTAAATGAAATTTTAGTTAATAAAATTAAGGTATTTAATATATTTAAATCGTTATTTTAAAAATGTTTAGTTTTTTTGCCATACCATGTTTTTTTGTAATTATTAATTAAAAAATTATATATTTTTAGGACAGTGTTTTATTTAGATACCCCTACCTACTTAATGTTAATTTAAAATTTTAAATAATTTTGGTTAACATCATACCAGGCAAATATATAGTAAATGCCAATAAACTATAAACCAATAAATATTAAAAATCGGAAAGTAACTTAAATTCTCTTGTATTTGAATTTACTTGTACTTGAATTTACCTACATGAAAAAATCATAATTATATTACTAAAAAATATACCTACTTATTTACGTATTTTTTTAACATACTACTCTGACAATACTGGTAAGTTTAAAACTCTACGCCACTGGCGAGCATATTATGGACACTGTTTACAACGTTGCCAGCCGGTCCTAAGAGATCTGTCTTTCTCTCTTCCACTCACTAACAATTTTAAAACAATAACAGTCCGCAATTGTATGGGATTTATGAATGAAACATTTTGTCTCTATGCTGTAACGTCTTTGGTTTATTCACTTTTATAAATATATTCCTGAAGTAAGAAGATAACATGCGTCAAATATACAATCATTTAGTTACCATTACATACCTTTAAACTATTTTTTATGACCTGCATACAATATTTAGAAGAAAAAAAATAAAGCAGTAAAAACATACATGTCAACTTTATTGATGTTTGTGTTAAAAGTTTGGTTAGAAATAAATGTCAGTGGAACCAAAATGACATCACACTAAACTGATGTATTAGCCAATAACATTTTAGGCATCATTATGACGATATTTGAAAAACATTGACGTAGAGGTTTCAAATTTGCTTGAATTTTTTGGAATTCAAAAAATTTTTACATGAAAATTTAAAAAGAGAAAAATTTCAAAATTATTTTTAGATTAGATTTTGTGTTCTCTTTTAGAACAAAAATATTTTTGAATTTCACTAAATACTCCCATTGTGAATCGGCAAAATTAAAAATGTTTAGAACATTTTTTTTACCCCATTGTACAACTATTGTTTAGCATACTTTTTCTTCCAGGCCTAATGATGGTGACTGACCGAAACTAGTCTCTTCATCCCTGTTTCTATTAAAAATATTTATGTGCCTTTCTTTTATTTATTTTTTATCTTATGCTAGTTATTCTTAAATTAATTTATTGATGGTATTTCAAGCAATCTCTTATTTCCGTTAAAATAACATTTTACCGCGTAAATTATTTAACAAATAAACCTTGAATAAAAATTTTTGCAAAGAATGTTCCTTGACATTTTTTTATTTTGTATCTCAAATTCCAAAACAATTTAGCAAAAAAAAAAACATTTAATTACCTTGATTGTTCATCTCACAAGTGCTGGTATAAAAGTCGAACATGAAGAATACCTCTATGTCCTCATCAACTTTGGAACTTTCAAAACATCCGCGAAAAAAAAACGCGCAAACCAGAAGAAACTCCGAAACTTTTACGAAATTACGACGCTCGCGTCGCGACGATCTATCGAAATGCCCGGCACCGTTGTTTGCCGGCTATCAACTGGTGGATTCCGCCGAAGGCGCGATCTTGGACTGCATCCACCACTCCTCCTTTTGGAGATGGTCGAAGAATGCGGGAGACTATATGGCGCCAGTCTACGAAATCTATTGGTAATAATAATAATAATTTATTCATCCAAAAGTATAAAAACCAAAAATGGTAGTTTAAAATTATGAGAATTTTAATGATTAGGTACAGTTGAGGAACCTGAAATGTGAACGCCAAAATTTAATGGAGTGATTTAGACTTTGCATCATAGTCGTTCATCACATTCAAATGACTCCGCACTAATCTTATATGAGAAATTACTTCCTGTGATATTCCTTTTAAATTAAGATATGTTGTAGATATGTAGATATCGATCTTCTTATCAAAAGTTGCCATTGCCGCAACTCCCTATCACCAACCATTTGGATAATATAGGCTGTGAATATATATATTTTTTTTTATGAAAATTGTGTTCGACTAAAAAAAAAAACGTGCAGGTACCTAAGTCGAGAAGTTTTCAAGAAAAAAATATATTTTTTTTTTTCACCATTTTGAGACCTAGGGTGAGATTACAGAACGTCTGCAACTTTACAGATCTGCAAATATGGCGGCACCTTTGAAAATCTGCAAATATGACTGACTTACACATGCAAGTATCAAGTTTTCGTATTCCAAATTTGGGTTTAGTGTTGTTGGGGGTAATAAACCACAATAAATATTGCGAATTTGCAGATATTTTTTGGAATAC